AAAGATCTTTTAAAGAAATTTGATTTTAATGAGTGTTCTTCCATGAAAACTCCAATGGCACCCCCCTTGAAACTGAATGCAGACCCCGATGGCAAATCGGTRAATGTGACCAGTTATAGGGGAATGATCGGCTCCTTAATTTATCTTACTGCTAGCCGACCAGATATTATGTTCTCCACATATCTTTGTGCAAGATACCAAGCGAATCCAAAGGAATACCAAGCGAATCCAAAGGAATCTCACTTGGTAGCCGTTAAGCGCATTTTCAGGTACCTAAAAGGTACTCCCAATCTGGGTCTTTGGTATCCCAAAGACTCAGGTTTTGATCTAACAGGTTTTTCAGATTCTGATTATGTAGGCTGTAAAGTTGACAGAAAGAGTACTACTGGTAGTTGTCAGTTGTTGGGTGGAAAGTTAGTCAGTTGGACTAGCAAGAAGCAACACTCTGTGTCCACCTCAACAGTTGAAGCTGAGTATGTTGCTGCAGGTAGCTGTTGTTCACAAATCTTGTGGATGAAAAATCAGTTAGCTGATTACGATCAGTTGTTCGCAGAAATTCCTATTTTCTGTGACAATTCAAGTGCCATTGCTATTGCCAACAATCCAGTTCTTCACTCTCGTACGAAGCATATTGATATTCGATATCACTATATCAGATATCATGTGATGAAAGGTGATGTTGAACTTCATTTTATCCCTACAGCCTATCAACTCGCTGACTTGTTTACCAAGCCTCTTGATGAATCTCGGTTTAATTTTTTGATCAGTGAGTTGGGTATGTTAAATGTTGACAAATAATTTTTGAGTTTTCACTAATTCTTTTGGGTTGTGTGTTTTCTAAAAAAAATGTTGTGTGCCATTTACTTAAAAATAGTCTGGTATCTGTGTGATGAGTATGCTTCTCTTTTTCTAAAATATTGATTTTTTTTTGAAAATGATGGGTTTTACACTCGCATATTTTTTTTCTTGAAAATCAGTTTCTATTTTTCTCTCTAAAAAGTCTCTGTGTGAATTCTTTTTATATTGCTTAAATATATATATATATATATATATATATATATATATATTAGCATTTTTTTTAAAATTTATTTTATGTTTGAAAAACAAAAAGAAGCAAAAAGATAAAAAGTTTTTATTATATATAGTGGTTTTATTTTTAAGTTTTTTCCTTGGTTTGTTTGTGATGTGGGCCTCATCTTTTTTTTTTGGGCCAATCTATGTAATCAATGGGCCGATCATTTGCCCTCCTTACCCTAGTCCATCCCATCCCATCCCATCCCATCCCTATATATAAGCTGATCCCCTCCTATTCGGCCTACCACTCTATCCCCTTTTGGTTTCTACACAAACCGGCCATCAAACCACCAAGCCGATTTACCTCAAGCCGACCCCCCTCTCCTTCCACACCCACTAGCCTTTCACGCCAACCACTAACACACACCACACAAGCCGAACCCCCTTCCCCTCACACACGGATTCGCCTAGATCGGTTTCTTCCTTCTTCCTTCTACACACCGATCAACAAGCCCATACCCCTCTTCATTACCCCTAAACCGATCGACCTCTCTCCCATAACCCCTCTCTTTCGGTCTCTCTCTCCCCACTCGGTTTCCTCCTGTCATCCTCTCTCTTTTCCCTCACAAACCGCCTCACTCAAGCCGACCCCATCGCCTTCCTTTCTTCTCTTCCCCACCCTTCGGCCCACCCCCTTCTCAATTCAGTTTCCCCAATTCTCAATCGGCCTCCCCCCTCTTCTCTCACCAATCGATTTCTACACAAACCGATCCCATGACCTCAGATGAAGAAGCTGCTGCAGCTAAAGCAGCTAAAATTGCTAGTCATCAATCTGCAGTTCCTTCAGCCGACAGACTTGTGCTTAAAGCTTCATGTCCTCAAGAAACTGATCTTCATCTCCTAGGTATTTCTTCTAAGGATGCGGCCAACCCAATTGCTCTTCAAAAGCTATTTGAGGAAGCCAACAGATCTCACTCCTTAGTGCCACGATCTGAGTCTGAAGAAACCAAAGAGAAAAGAATTAAATGGTTTAATGACTCAATTCTCCGACGCTATACTACTACTCGAATTGTCAATGCCAGAATCAAAGGTCCTCAAAAATTGACCTATGATTCCAAT